CAAACGCCCCACCCACTGTGCTATGGCTCCAGCCCTGAGTACACCGTCTTACTTGGCTGGAGCTCCGTGAGGACAGGGCTCTCAGGCCCAAGTCCCCAGAGAGAGCTCGGCACCGAGCACTGGCTCGCTGAGTTCCCGCGGATCAGAGAAAGCCGCGGAATATTTCCCAGGAACAGGGTGGACAGCAGGACGGCTCCTCTCGGGGGCAATGACACCAGCATCCACGAGGACTGCAGTGTAAAACATCTTTAATCTCCGGAGGAGCACCTGACCTATTTGATGCACACAACGGCCTCCCTGCCTGGCTGCATGAGGGGACTGGGGTTCGGGTAAGCTGGTGATCTAGAGTTCAGCGTGTGTGCTCACAAACCCACTCTCCCTTCCAAGCAGGACTCTGCATGCTGAGGCGGGGAACTTGCCCGCGGGCACCAGCAGGCAGCGAGGGGGCCCACACTCCCTGCCCACCTGGGAAAGACAGGATCTGTGCATGACAGGCCACCGCATCGGGAGGCCGAGAAGAGGAGCCGGGGCCAGAGGGACACGTTTCAGAATGTGCTAGACCCTCTTCAGACTTGGAGGCAGGTGTCAGGGTGGCACCAAGGTCAGGAGCTGAAAATGCAGACTGTTATCGGGATATCTGATGACGAGACGCAGGAAGTGAGGGGGCACTCCTGGGGCACCCGTCACCTCCAAGTGGGCAGCACTGACCACAGACCACAGACGAGGGCCATCCTGTCCCAGACCTGGGACGTGTCTGTGCCAGCGCCCGGGTTCTGGGGGACAGGGCAGGCCTGTACCGTGAACCGCCGTCACAGAGCGACCCCCTCCTGCGTCCAGGGTGCAGGGAATGGGTCTCCCAGGCCCACGCCAGGAGCACTTGCAGAGGGGAGTGGAGCAGAGGTCGCAGCTGCAGGGGGTGTGCCAGGGAGCGTTTTCGAGGGGGCCAAGTCACTGCCCGTCGGTCCTCTGCGTGCGCACGGGTCGAAGGCAGGCCATCGCCAGGGCTGCAGGCTGGAGGCCAAGCTCAGGGACAGGGCAGACACACCGCTCAAAGCCCTGGAAGCTGTAAGAGAGCAACAGCCCCAACTTTGCTTAGAGGGCAGCCGGGCATGGGGATGCCAAGGAGCCTTGGCTCCTGAGAGCGCGTTCCGGCTCGGGAGAAGCTCAGGAAGCGGAAGACCTCCAGCCATCACTGTCCTTGCCTCTCCCTTCCCCAAGGCCAGGACAGAGCAGCAGGCTGGGGGCCACATGCCTGGCTTCACTCCTTGGCCCTCAGACCTGCACACACACACACACACACACACACACAGAGTTTCTCTCTTTGCCTCTCTGTCTCTCACTGTCTGTTCGTCTCTGTCTCTGTCTCGCTCTCTCTCATGCCAAGAGATGAGGTGACGGAAGCGTTTCCTGCTCTTGGAAATTCCTTTCCTCCCCACGCAGTCGACAGCCTTGCCCAGGGTCACAGTGCATGGCAAGCATCTCGGTAATTGCTCCCAAGAACACCGAGCTCCCCGGCACCCCCATCCCACACTGAGCTACAGACCTCACAGGATGGACGTTGGATGAGGGACGTTCTCACCTTCCTTCTCCTCACCAGCCCTGCCTGTGAGGGTTCTGGCCTCCCCCACCCCCGCACAAATCCCTCCACACTTCCATTCTGCCTGGGAGGAAGACGGGATGGAGGGTGAGAAGGGAGCGGATGGCTGGGCCGGGGGCCACAGGACCCCTCGACAGTGGAGACACAGACCAGGGAGGAGGCCTGGCTGGGTCAGGCCAGCGCCCAGTGCCAGGAGCAGACACAGGCCAGCCCCCCCCACGCCAGCCCTCCCTCCAGGGGGGCGGCAGCGGCTCCCCGAGGTGAGAAGAAGTTGGAGGCTCAGCCGACCTGCAGGGATTAGCACCTGATCAAGCCGCTCCTGGAGGGATCACAGGACGCGGTCAGCCTCTCGGCAGCTTAGCCGTCCCTGTCCCCACAGTCCTCCTGCCCCTCACCAGCAACTGCTCACAGGCACCGGGGAGCCCTCAGCTCTGGGCAATCGGGAGTTTGAGTGAGAGGGGCAGGAGAGGTCGAAGGGACCCCCAAAGCACAGCCCCCAACTCCAGAGCTCTCCCGGGAGCCCCGAGGCGCAGTCCTGGGTGGGGGTGGGGGTGGGGAGCGGAGCAGAGGGCAGCCTGGCCCAGCTCCCCGCCGGGCTCTGCTGAGCAGCCCTGGCCTGGAGTCAACCTTCCTCTAGGCCACCCAGGCCCTCCCCTCCAGCTGGCTCCCATCCCGAGAACGCGGGAGCCAGGGGGGCCCCCACAGCTGGGAAGCCTCAGGACCAGCTTCCTGGAGCAACTAACTGCCCCTGAGGCCCCTCAGCTGCTAGGAACCGTGTCCTGGTCCCCCCAGTTAAGCAGGACCAGGGCGGGGGGCCTCCATCACCCCCCAACACCTCCTTCATACTGGAGGAGGAGTCCCAGGTGGAAGAAGGCAGGGCCAGGCTTGTCAAGGCTTTCAGAGGTCCCCAGGGCACCCAGGGCCAGGTGGGGCTGGGGCCACCCGTGGGCCCCCCTGAGCCCCTTGTCCTTGATTTCCCAGCCAGTCCCTGGGCCACGGTCACCCGCAACCCCACAGCCTGTTCTAGCAAAAGGATGGGGCGGCAGCCCACCTGGCCCCTGCAGGACCTGAGCTGGGCGGAGACCCTGAAAAGCAGGATGTGTTAAGAGATAAGCGCGTAGTGGGGCCCCCCAGGGCCGAGGTCAGCGCCACCACCCCGGTGCCAGCAGGGCAGGGCAGACCCCTCACCTGTGCGGGGGGCACCAGCCGCCAGGGCCCTGGAGGCATTGTCCACCGGGGAGCCGGCGCTGCGGGGATGCCCCTTGTGGGACGGGCACGGCTCCCCGGGGTGTGCAGGTCCTCGGGGCCAGCGGGCTCCTAAGTGTCGTCGGAGTCTTCGCCTCCGCTGGCGCCGCTGGGCTCGGCCTCGCTGGACTCAGGGGGCTCGTGGGCCAGCAGCTCGGTGAGCCCCTGTGCGCGGAGCAGGAGGCCGCCGCCCAGGAACAGGACCCCGCAGAGCACCAGCAGCGAAAGCACGCCCAGCACCGCCGCCTGCACCGTGGCGCGCGACCCCTCGGGGGGCTCCGGAGGGGCCCCGGACTGGTTGCAGCAGGAGCTCAGCCAGGCGGTCCGCGAGCCGTTCATGCTCGGATGCTGGCGGCCCAGATGCGCGCCTGGGACGGCCAGATGTGCAAGCCGGCGGCGAAGGGGAGGGGCTGGAGGGGCGGGCCCGGCGCCGACGCCCCTGAGCCTCACCCAGAGCTCTGAGCCCTTCTGAAACCCAGCCCGGACTCCTTCCCAGCCTGGGGTAGTTCCTGTGGCCCCCAAGGCCACATCCTCCTGGGCCGGCCCCAAGGCATCTCCCTCCTACCCGATGGGTCTCCAAAGCCCCATCCCTATTCCTGGCTCTGTCCCTGGGCCAGAGCAAAGTACAGCCAGGTGGCCTGCTCTGTGCTTGGGGAGGGGGGTCCCCCACCCTGACCCCAGTCGAGGACTGCATCCGGCAGTTGGCTGCAAACCACCGTGAGACGCCTTTTCCCAGGAGAGAGGCGGAACATTTGTGGAATGGCACCGATAGCCGTTGAAAACGGCGAGTCTCCTGGACCACTCAAGCAGGAGGCAAAGACACCATCCAGGGCTTCAGCAGTGAGCCTGGCCCTTAGGGAGGCTCCTTGGCTGGACTGGTAGGTTGGCATCTCCCGGCCAGCAGGGAATAGAGAGGGAAGAGAGTGGGGGGTGGGGGTGGGGGGCGGAATCCAGCCCCCACCACTTCCCTCATACCACCTCTGAGACAGCAGGCTGGGATGTTACTGTCCTGTCCAGTAGGATCAAGCTGGCTGTCCCGTGATGGATCCGGGACAGGAGAGTAGGGCTGAGGCTCAGGACGGAGCCCCGAGCGCGTGCGGGGTTCCTAAGCTACCACAGGGCGGGGCCAGGGAGGAGGCTCGGGAGCACGGCACTTGCCTGTCCAGGAGGGGCCCTGGGTTCCATCCTGGCCCAACGCCCTTCTGGCATCAAGCCAGAGCCCTCTTTCACAGCAGCTGCCTGAGCGAGCCCCTCGGACCCTCCCGCGGAGCAAGAGCCAGGAGCACCCAGGGGGCGGGCCGATCAGCCAGGGTCACGCACCTCTAGACTCGCCGGGATGGGCTTCACCCTCTGGAATGTCACAGAGATTAAGGGCGGCCCATAAACCGGTTGGGAAATGTCACATGACCAAGGCAGCTGGCAACGGGGGAAAAGGAGCGACCCTTAGTCCTTGTGGGGGAGGAATTAGCTCCCGGAGCCCGACACTCCCACTTCTCAGGGCCTTCCTGCCCCAGTTCACTTAATCTGGATGCAGCTGGCCTAGAGACAGCAAAAAGCACTGCGAGACTAAATCAATTAAAAGCACAGAGTGGAGCGCATTGATCTGGAGCTAAGCCTCGTCCTAGGAGGCAGCAGGGGCTGGGCTGGATGTGCGAGAGGGGTCATGGCTGCTCCTAAAGCCACTCTCCAGGGCTGGAGCGATAGCACAGCGGGGAGGGCGTTTGCCTTACACTCGGCCAACCCAGGTTCGATTCCCAGCATCCCATAGGGTCCCCCGAGCACCGCCAGGAGTGATTCCTGAGTGCATGAACCAGGAGTAACTCCTGTGCATCGCCGGGTGTGACTCCCCCCCCAAAAAAAAAGCAAAAATAAAAAAAATAAAGCCACTCTCCAGAGAAACCCCAAGTGAAAGGGCCCTTCCGGGGGCTGGCGGGGAGGGGTGGGCACTGTGTGTTCTGGACAGAGGACACTGGGGCACTCGTGAAGGAGCACACAAAAGCACATAACCAGGAGACTGGGCTTCCTGAGGAGAAAGGTGGGTCACCTCCGGAACCTGGCCCAACGTTCCCATGGAGCGAGAATCACACCCACCCAGGTGGATGTCCAACGCAATTATCAGCCTGATCTGTTTTCATCGATCTTTAATTCCCAGCCACCGTTCCCCTCGGTTTCAAATCAAGGCCTCAACGAACTCCAGATGCCCCAGGCTTGCCATGCAAAGTGCTCATGTCTCAAGGTCGTACACGAGACCAGGGAAGATGGCTCAGCCCGGACACTTTCTCGACTTGGAATCCGCATCTCGGCAATGACTCTCCTGTACAGTGGAGAAAGAAGGGGACCCCGCTGGGGGCGTGGAGGGGCAGTGCGGGCCAGCCTGCCCATCAGCAGAGGTTAGTGAAGGGGACAGTCCAGCAACCGCAGCGCACGGAAGACAGCGGGCGCCCCAGCCTCCCTCGGGACCCACAGCCGGGTCCGAGCCCCGGGGACGTGTAGTGCGATCCGGGATGCGCAGGGTCCGTGGAGACCTAGAGAGCCAGAGTGTCCTTGATCAGCCTGCGCATGGTGGTGGTGACCGAGGTGCCCAGCGCATCGGTGATCTGGAAGGAGATCTTGTAGAGGTAGGGCTGCACGTCCCGCAGGCCCGTGTCGAACACATTGTCCACCTCCGACTGCGTGGGCATCTTGGGCAGGTACTCGTGCCGGTTCATCACCTCCACGATGTTGATGATCTTCTCACACAGTTTCTCGCCCACCTTCTCCCGGCAGATCTGCCGCTCCTGCTCCGTGGCCAGGGCGACCACGTGCACCTTGACCGTCCACACCTCCCACGGGATGCACTCGTCGGAGAAGGGCCAGCGAGACTTCTTCTTCTGGTAGAACTCCAAGGACATCTGTCCTAGCCCGTCACCACCGGAGTTGCGCAGCGCGTCCTGGGGAAGAGGAGTGACAGGTGCCACCTGGAGCCGCCGCGGAGCTCTCGCCGCCCCCCGGGGCCTGCGGCCCCCACCCCAGGCAAGTCTGCCTCCTTGGTCTGCTCTAGCAGGGGACCTGCAGCAAGGGCAGGAAAGGAGGCCCCGGGTGGGGGAAGAGCTGAGTGAGGCGACCCTAAAAGTGAGGGTCCTGGGGCCAGGGCGACAGCAGAGTCGGGAGGCACGCCCTGGCACACAGCCAAGCTGGGTTCGTTCCCACGTCTGGTCCCCCGAGCACAGCTGCAAGTGACCCCTAAGCACTGCCAGGTGCGACCCTAACGGCAACAGAAATGCAAGTGAGGAACCCAACAAAACGCATCTCCTCAGAACCGAAACAGCCTTGCTCAGAGAACGGTGGCGAAGCACTCACGCTGGCCAAACCTCTGGAACCCCACGGCCCCTCTCGACAACGGCCAGGCCGAGGAAGGAGGCTCAGAGAGGAATGCACCGCTGCAGGCCGGTGGTGGGTTTTGCCAAGGAGTGAATGAGGAGTGCTGAATTGTAATTTTTTTTTTTTGCTTGTCTTGTGGGTCACACCCAGCGATGCACAGGGGTTCCTCCTGGCTCAGCACTCAGGAATGACTCCTGGCGGTGCTCGGGGGACCATATGGGACGCTGGGAATCAAACCCGGGTGTCCATGTGCAAGGCAAATGCCCTCCCCGCTGTGCTATCGCTCCAGCCCCAAGGAGTGCTGAACTGCAAATCCTTCCTCTTCACCTTTACCTGACAGGCTTTTCTTCCCACCAGCCCTCCTCTCTGGCCTCTATCCTCCTCAGCTTCATCATGGCTCATTCTCCTCAGGTAAATCCTATTTGCCTTCTCCCCTACCAAGAACATAGGGATTACATAAATATTCTAAGAATATATTGATCAATTATAAAAATATCATTTAGATGAATATAGATCTTAATTATGGAGCAAGGAATAGGGAGAAGTCGCAACAGAATTATTCTTGAATAATAATTTTGGATTGTTTTCTGAGGGAATGACCCCAGGCCCAAATTATTTTCTTTAGATCTAAAGGCTTCTGGGTACACTGGTGGTGGGAAACGGACACTGGTAAAGGGATGGGTGATGGAACACTGTATGACTGAAACCCAATCAAGAACCATTTTGTAACTGTATCTCAGTGATTCCATTTTAAACAGTAATTCAAAAACAGCTCTGAAGACTTTAAGGAAAAAGAAAAAAAAAAACCAGCAGCCTGGAGAGCCCTGAAGGCAAGAAGGCAACAAAAGAACAGAGAGGAAGGGGGAAGCAGGACGCCCCCATGCCCCTGTCCAGCTGCGGCGCCCCCGGCTCCTCTGGGAAGCGAAGGGGCCCGTCTGCGCGGCAATTCTGCCTGTTTCACCCCCCACACCCCCCCAATGAGGTGTCGGAGTCCCACGATCCTCCTCCCAGCACTGCCGGGACCCTGAAGCACCTTTTCTTCAATTTGGGGGCCAGCTCAGGGTGATGGGGTAAGGACACTGCCCTCCAATTCTGGCCCTCCCTCAGGGCCACGCCAACGGCAAACACCAGGACACGGCTGTCACGGGCTGTTCCAAGCATGTGACGCTAGACCCACTTCATCTCCTCAGCACATCCATGCCCCAACTTTACACGCAGGGAAACTGAGGCCCAGAGGAGCAGACAGTCACATACCTGCTCACGCACAGGCACCTGGCGAATGGAGGACGAATGCCACGACTCCCCAGGGGACAGGTAGGCCGCTCACAACTCACCCTCTGGGGACTGAGGGGGGGGGGGGGGGGGGGGGTGAGCTGGGTGTGAGGGAGGGTCCAGCCCTACCAGGCATGCTTCTTGGTTAGCACACAGCGCCGGGCAGTGTGGGGCTCTCCAACCCCTTCTCATCTGACCCAAGAGAGCAACTGAAAACTTTTCCTGGGGGATGGGGAGAGAGCTCACTGGGCTGGGACATGCCTTGCCACACACGTAGGAGGCCTGGGTTCACTCCCCAGCACCACATGGGCCCGGATAGACTTGACCCCTGAGCACCGAAGCAGCCCTTAGGCACCACTCGATAACACCTCAAAAGATATATAAAGATTTCCTGAAATAGAAAAAAATTAATAAAAAAAAAGTTTTGGGGACCAAGAGAGAGTACAGCAGGAAGCACTTGTCTTGCATGTCGCCCACCCAGGTGGTTTGATATCTGGCATCTCATAGGGTCCCCTGAGCACCACCAGGAGTGATTCCTGAGGAGCCAGGAATAACCCCTGAGCATTTGGGTGTGACAAAAAAAAACACGCAAAAATTTCCTAGGGCTGAAGAGATAGTAAGGTACTTGCCTTGTATGTGGCCAATCCTATTTTGTTTTTTTTTTTCTTTTTGGGTCACACCCAGTGATGCTCAGGGGTTATTCCTGGCTCTGCACTCAGGAATTACTCCTGGCGGTGCTTGGGGGACCATATGGGACCCTGGGGATTGAACCCAGGTCGGCCGCGTGCAAGGCAAACGCCCTACCCGCTGTGCTATCGCTCTGGCCCCGCCAATCCTATTTTGATCCCTGGCACTAAGTATGGTCCCCTGAACCCCCTGAGAAGTGATTCCTGAGTGCAGAACCAGGGATAAGCCCTGAGCACTACTGGGTGTGCACCCCCCCCAAAAAAAAAACACATAAAACATTGGAGGCAGAGAAAAGGGGAGCCGACCACTCTCCAGGGAATCAGTGGGCACCTACAGTGAACGCTTATGCCCACGGGCACCCACCTCGCTCCACCTCTTCTCAAGGTCCCCCTCCTTCCCCAGAGCAGTTCTGAAATGGCCTAGGAAGAGGGAGCGTGCGGGGGTGTCAGGGACCTTGAGCCCCGCTTGCCACACCCCTGCCTTACCTTGAACTCCCCAACGACCTTGCGCAGGGCACGGTCCAGCTCATCGGAGGAGACCCGCACGTAGGTGAAGTCGATGAAGTCGCAGTCGACGTCCTGGGTGCCCACGGTGCCGATGGAGTAGGTGCCCTCCTTCTTGTAGTGGAACTTGCCCGTGCTCCGGTGCAGGAGTACCGTGTGCAGCACCGCCAGCATGGCCTCCTCCACCTGCCGCCCCTCCACCGACACCTCCAGCACCTCTGAGCGACAGTTCATGCTGCCGCCTGCTCCCGGACCACAGCAGGTCAAGAGTCGACAGCCCGGAGGTCACCCTGCAGGAAGCCAGGTCAGGACATCGGCATCATTGGCCTCGTCACTTTCTAGGCGGCCCAGAGCCCTCCCTGAGGCCCAGCTCTGCACCGTTTTGCGTTCCCACGGCCCTCGCTAGTATAAAGGCCCTCAGGATAGGAAAGGGAGCTAGCTCCCGGACTACTGGCTGAGACTTCGATTCTGCCTGACAGCCAGTGGTCTGCAGTGTCGCGGGGGACAGGGTGGGGTTAGGGGGAAAAGGAAGACCGGAATTCCTAGGACCCCTGAATGATCGGGTAAGGAATTCTGAATTCGCGTGTTGCAAGGAGTACTCTGCCAACATTGACTCTGCGCTTCAGAAGTTAACACTGGCAGAAGGGCTAAGAGTGTACCAGGTCAGGAAGGAGGCTCAGTGCTAGTGCGTCTGCTTCAACAGATGTGGCCGTGGCCCAAACGACAGAGCACCCAGGTGGCAGCTCACACACCGAGCCTGTGTGAAGCCAAGTCCGATCCCTGGCACCTTATTCCTCCTATCCCAGAACCGGAGAATGTCGCCCTGGTGGCCAGTGAGCACCACTGGACCTCGCACTAAATGGAGTGCACCAGTAAAAAATCAAACAAACAAAAACAAAAACTGGGGGCTGGAGCCATAGCACAGTGGGTAGGGTGTTTGCCTTGCACGCAGCCGACCCAGGTTCGATTCCCAGCATCCCATATGGCCCCCCGAGCACCACCAAGAGTAATTCCTGAGTGCATCATCCAGGAGTAACTCCTGTGCATTGCGGGGTGTGACCCAAAAAGAAAAACAAAAAAGAAACAAAAAACTGACGAATGTATTTCCACCCCAAGTCCTGCATGTTTCCAGGGCCACGTAGACTCTTAAGGTAATGCTTGTGGCCTTAAGGCATTAGGGAGAGGTGGCATCACAGAATTCAAGGGGGTGGGCACAGAGGTGGAAGTTTCCCCATCCCGTAGTCCTGGGTTACAATCCCAGCACTCCTGCATCTCACTCTGTGACCTTAAGCAAATCAGTTCAACTCTGAGCCTGCTTTCATGTCTGTTGTAAGGATTGGCCACACATATAAAACACGGAACAGGAATGACAAATGACTCCAGGGGAGTCGATGGCTCAAAGGGCTGGAGTACACTGCAGGAGGCCCAGGTTCAATCCCCAGCATCACACGGTCCTCCAGACTCCTGACTCCAAAGCCAAACAGCTGAGGCTGAAGTGATAGCGCAGTGGGTAGGGCGTTTGCTTTGCACGTGGCCGACCTGGGTTCGATTCCCAGCATCCTATATGTCCCCCGAGCACCACCAGGAGTAATTCCTGAGTGCATGAGCCAGGAGTAACCACTGTGCATTGTCAGGTGTGACCCAAAGAGCAAAAAAAAAAAAAAAAAAAAGCCAAACAGCTGCTCAGAAGCCCAGCTTTGTCCTTTGCTCAACTCCTATGTGCCTCTAACTCGGGACTGGAGCGATAGCATAGTGGGTAGGGCGTTTGCCTTGCACGCGGCCCAACCTGGGTTCGATTCCCAGCATCCCATATGGTCCCCCCAAGCACCGCCAGGGGTAATTCCTGAGTGCATGAACCAGGAGTAACCCCTGTGTATCGCTGGGTGTGACCCAAAAACCAAAAAAAAGAAAGAAAAAAAAAGATTATCTCACTGTCATGACATGACAGAGATGACAGGCGGCTTGCACTGGGCAGTGTGAAGGGAACAGCCTTGAGAACCAGAACCTAGCAGATAACTAACTGGAGGCAGAGGGGGCGGGTGGGTGACTACTCCCCCACTGAGCAGCTCCACTGGGGTCCTGCAGCTACTGCAACCCGCCTCTTGGAGCTGCAAGCCACAGTTTGGCTAAACCAACAGAAACCTCGCCCCTTTCCATACACCAAAAACCAACTTGTCATTTAGCCGTTCAGGGCTCCACGATCCCACTGGCCAGGCGAAGGCGCTCGGGCTCCCAAGACCACGCCAGCTGGAGCCCCAGCTTCTTTCTCTCCAGAGTGGGGGCCCCTCTCCTGCAGGCTGGGAGTCACCCGGACCCACCCTGCCAGCAGCTCAGCGCTGTCCCAGGGGGCACAGCTGTGTGCCGAGGGCCCAGTTCAAGCCCGCTCCGCCTCTCCACGGGGAGCCGGAGGGGGACGGGGGTCCAGGCGCTGGCGAGCATCACCCACGCGTGGCTCGTCTTGGGGCTGTCATCGGGCACCCGGTCCTTGAGGGCAGGACCCGTCAACAACATCCCCAGCCACCTGGGGCCACCTGGGGCCACGTGACCGGTTGCTCAACTCCGCCCGACCCAGGAACGCCGGGTCCTGCCCAGGGCGCCCGGGCGAAGGGTGGGCGCGACGGCCCCCTCCACGCAGCAGTCCCCACCCAGAGACCCCCCACTCGGGTTCCGCTCAGTCCCGGAACCCCTCCTTGATGCTTGGCGGGGGTGGGGTGCTCTCTGCGCGGTGCGGGCGCCGCCCACCGTCGGGCCTCCGGGGCAGCTCCCGCGTCGGCCGCAGCCCCCCAGGGTCCGCGCGAGCCCCCCGCCCCCCGCCCCCCGCCACGCCCCTCCCCCCGTCTGCGCCGAGCCCCGGCTGGCCCCTCGCAGCTCCGGGGAGGGTCGGGGATGGCTCCGGCGTCGGGGGGGTGGGGGGGTGGGCGGGCGATCCCCCCACCCCCACCCCGGCTCGGGGCCTCCAGGCGCGACCCCCGACCCGCCGAGCGCCCGCCCCGGCCCGCGGGACCCCGACTCCGCGCCGGGCCGCTCCCACCCGCCGCCCGCGAGCGCGCGCGGGGCCAGTCCCCGCCGCCGTGTGCGCGACGCCTTCGCGGGTTACCTCCAAGCCCCTCGGGGAGGTCCGCGGAGACGCCCCCTCGCCCTCCCCGCGGGCACGGACCCTCTCGCCCGCGGCGGCCGGAAGCGGGCGGTCGGGCCCCGAGCCACGCACTTCCGCCACAGAGTCGCGGCGGAGGCTAGAGAGGCCGCCGCGCGGGGGCTGGCTCGGTGCTGCCTCCCTCGGTGGAGGACCGTCAGCGCCGCCGGGAGCCGGGCTCTGGGCGCAGGCGAGGTCCGCAGCCCTGGACCCCCTTATCAGCACACAGGACAGCTGATTCCCCTCGGATCCCCCCAGACATGGAGCAGCCCTTTGGAAAATGCCCTTTGGAGATGATCGGAGCCAGGGTCTGGTGACACACCAAGGGCGGGGCGAAACTTCAGCCTGTCCAGTGGGAGTTTGCAGAAAGCATCCCAGGCTCACAGAGATGCTGAAGACGGGACTTGACTGGGTCCTTCTCTCCATCCCCGAGCATACCTTGATGTTCCACCATCAGTGCTTGTAATGCTGACAGTGCTTGTAAAGCTTGCAATTCCGCTTTTTTGTAGTTTTTGTTCTGGGGGTCCACCGGCAATACTCAGGGGTTACTCCTGGCTCTGTGCCTCTGTGCTCAGGAATTACTCCTGACGTCTCCCCTGATGGTATTGGGGTGACCAGACAAGATGCAGAGGATCGATCCAACCCGGGTCGGCTGTATACAAGGCAACTGCACTACCGGCTGTCCTGTTGCCCCAGCCTCTAATTTGGCCATTCCTCTAACGGGGAGGCTTTCTAAAGGGATATGGCTCAAGGGTAGAAAACTTACTCCGCCTAGAGACTAAGATCCTGGATTTCACACTTCTGCCATCCCCGCCCTGACCCCCTGCACTGCAAAAAACCTTGGAAACGGTGCTTGTAAATTTCTCTGCCCTGGCCTCCTCCTACCTGGTCAGTCACCAATCTGCTTCCTTCCTTGCAGGAGTACAGCTCCAGACCCCCAGACCCCAGTCTTGCTCTGGTCAGCTCCTATCCCTGTCTGCAGCTTTCTCTCCTCTCCAGGTAGCCTCAGTGTACCCCCAGGATGTGAAGAAGGAGATAGATGCCCGCTTCACAGACCAATACAAAACCGGAGCAGGGGCTGGAGCAATGGCACAGCAGGTAGGGCGTTTACCTTGCACGCGGCCGACCTGAGTTCGATTCCCAGCATCCCATATGGTCCCCTGAGCACCGCCAGGAGAGATTTCTGAGTGCAGAGCCAGGAATAACCCCTGTGCATTGCCAGGTATGACCCAAAAAAAAAAAAAAAACAGAGCAGAGTCTCAGAAGAACATAATGAGTGGGAAGGGGCTCTGAGCTCTGATGGGGGGGGGGGGTTGAGGCATCCAGGAGGGCCCGGGGAACATGTCTCCCAGAGGCTGTGGGTGACTGAGAAGAGAGACTGGGCCCTACCCCCTACTTCTCAGACCCTTCTGCTCCTCTCCTGACGTCAGAGTCAGCCACTGTTGCCGCCCCTGGCCTCGTCAGCTACACAACGGCTGAACTGGCGGTGTTGTGCCAACTTCTCCAACCTCCTCTCAAGATAGATATGATTTACCCCCAACTTACAGAGAGTGAAAGCAGGCTGGGGATCTGCTGGGAACGGCTGATTTTGTGTGTCAACTTGACTGTACCCCAGAGGGCCCCGGCAGGCAGCTGGTCAAGCCTTTCTCTGGTGGGTGTGAGGTGATCCCGGAGAAAAGCATTTGAACTCAGAGAGTCCACCGCGGGGAGGGTAATGGGCTTTGCTTCTCCAGCCAGTTGAAGACCTGAAGAGAGTGAAAGGGGCTGACCCTTTGGAGGCCAGAGTGATAGTACAGCTGGTAACCAGGTTCTATCCTGGCATCCTGTATGGTTCCCTGAAACCGCCAGGAGTGAGCCCGGAGTGAAGAGCCAGGAATAACCCCTGAACATCACATCACCGGGTGTGGCACAAAAACAAAAACAAAAAAGGCCGAGCCTCCAGACGTAGATTTAGGAATTGGCCATGGGATGTAGCGCAGGCCCTGAGTAGGCCTTACCTGTGTAAAGCCCTGGGCTTAATCCCAGCCTTGTAAAATAAAAGAAATGAGATAAAGAGAAGCAGAATATTTGACCTTCCTGAGTCTGCTGCTGTTGGGCTTGTTTTGGGATTTTTGCTCACACCCACCAGCACTCAGGGGTAACTCCCGGCTCTGCACTCAGGAATTATTCCTGGCAGTGCTCAGAGAACCATATGGGATATCAGAGGTCAAACCTGGGTCGGCCGCCTGCAAGGCAAGTGCCCGGATTTTTCCTACTTTCCAGGCCTTTGGGCATTAACTACAGTGACAGATCAGCTCTCAACATCTCTGGCTTGCTGATCGTGGGTTTGGTAGACATTGTAGTTAGAGGTGCCAGTTCCTTATAACAAATTCATATACTAGAAACTTAGTATACTAGATACTTTATATACTAGAGACTCAGGGGTCATTCCCTGCATGACATGGTGCCCAGGGCATCACTGAATGCAACCCTTCAGCACTGATTCTGGAGTATCCCCTGAGCGTCATCGGGTGATGATTACCTAAAGAAAACAACTCTATGTACACACACTACTGGTTATTTTAAATATTTTTGAGAGAACTCTGATTAGTAGACTTGCCAAGGTATTTATTTTCTGTGTTCATTTATTTATTTATTTATTTATTTATTTTGCTTTTTGGGTCACAACCGGCGAGGCACAAGGGTTACTCCTGGCTCTGCACTCAGGAGTTACTCCTGGCGGTGCTCAGGGGACCATATGAGATGCTGGGAATCAAACTCAGGTTGGCAGCGTGCAAGGCAAACGCCCTACCAGCTGTGCTATCTCTCCAGCCCTTGTGTTCATTTATTATTATTATTATTATTATTTTGCAGTGCTAAAGGTTAAACCCAGAGCCTCACACTTGCAAGGTGAATGCTCTAATGTTGATCTCAATGCCCGGTCCCCATGGGTCATTTTATCTCCTGTGTCTCTGAAACTCCGGAGACTTCTGACAGACTCAGGCCTCCCACCTCTAACTCAGGCCTAGATGTTGACCAATCCTTGCTCAGGGCACCTTGATACATCCTACAGGATTTCTGGCTCCTCAGAGCCTGTTGCCAGGAGGGCCAGGGCCAAAAGCCAGACTGTCTAGGATAAAATCATCCCCCCTCCTCCCTCCCTCCCTCCCTCCCTCCCTCCCTCTCTCTCTCTTAAATTTTTTTTTTTTGCTGGGGGGAAGGGTGGCACACCTAACAGTGCTCAGAGCTTACTCCTGGTTCTGTGCCCAGAGACCACTCCTGGCAGGCTTTGGGACCATAGGGGGTGCTGAGAATTGAACCCTGGTCATCCGTGTGTGTGCAAGACAAGTGCCCTATCCACTGTACTATTTCTCCAGCCCTTCTGATGCTCCTGATGGGTAAGAAGGTGCCTTCTGATGCCCCGTGGTGAGTCACTCATGCCAGGCCCCTGTTTCACCCATCAGGCAAGCCTCAGTCCTGGCCCAGGGGCAGGCAGGGTCAGAGGTGGTTTATGGGCTACTTCCAGGCAGGAGAAGAGCGAGCCACTCAGCACCGTCTGCAGTTCAGGCAGGGCTGGAACTGGCTCCTGCTACTGCCCCAGAGGGTCGTCTGTGGCACCTTTTGATGAAAAGTGTGTTCTCAGCGAGTTGGAAGGTGACTGACAAGAACCCCAGATGACTGGAGAAACTCAGGACAGCAACCCAGGGAGGGGCGCCGTGCCTTTCCAGGGGAAGTGCTGTTCCAGGGATCTCTTTGGAGACTGCAGGGAGAAGGCGGCGAGGCTGGGGAGAAGGGCCTCATTGAGAGCAGAGAGGGGGCCGGAGCGACAGTACAGCGGGGAGGACATTTGCCTTGCACGTGACCCAGCCGGATCCCTGGCATCCCACATGGTCCCCCAAGCACGGCCAGGAGCAATTCCTGAGTGCAGAGCCAGGAGTAACCCCTGAGCATCACTGGGTGTGACCCAAGAAGCCAAAAACAAACCAAAAAATGAGAGCAGAGCGTGGAAACTGAGGCAGCAGCTCTGGCCGCCAGGGCCCCAGCCCTGGTTGAGGCCATTAGGCTCATGGCTGCAGCGAAAGCCCGTGCAGGGCCCTGAAGGCCAAGTCACAGCTTCGGGAGGAGGCTGCAGGGTGACCTCACTCACCCCGCCCCTTCCAATGTGAGCTGGGGGGAGTGAGGCCACACGGTGGTCCTGCAGGCCAGCCCAGCTGCTCCAAGCTGACCCCACTGACGTCACAGGGAGTGTCTCCAGCCCCAGTGACAACACTGAGTGAGACTGGCATCAGGCGTGGGCCTCCTGGCAGGGCCGGCCTAGCTGGGCAGCCAGCAACCTGCGCTGACCGTCTCCCCCAGGCCCACCCCATCTGACACGGGCTCTGGGGTCCTGCACCGGGGCAGCCTCGTCATCCCTCTTGGTGGGCTGTTGCTTGCCATAGCCTTGCTCCAGGGCAGAGCCAAGGGCCGCCTGGCCACAGGAGGGGCAGAAAGCACCCCGGAAGAGGCACCTCACGGCCAGACCAGAGCCGGCATGCCTGCTGTCTGCCCCGGGAGTCTGGGGGGCTTCTCTGCATTGGGAGGGCTTGTGTTCCCTCCTCTCCTGGCATGCCGTGTCTGTCTCTGGCCAGGGGTGTGTGTCGGGGCTGGGGGTTTGTCTGATTCTGGGTGCAGCCTGCTGGGTCGGGCCCGTCTCCCCTCCTGCATGGTGTGCCCAGGCCTCTGTGCCCTTCTGTGGGAGAGAGCGTGTCTGCCCGTTTCTCCAGCTCTGGTGGGAGACCTAGCGACCCCTGAATGCTGCTCGTCTCTCCCTGGTCTTTCGCTGAGTACGTGGAGGGAGGCAACCGTATTCGTCTTCCTGGGCACCCCAGTTCCCCGGAATGAGGCCCAGCTCTCCTGCCGGCCTCCCCCACGGCTGGGCTCTGAGGGCGAGGGCTCCTTCCTGCCAGTGTGTTCCGACCAGGAGGGCAGTGACGGTCAGCATGCCTGCATCCCTCCCCCGCCTGGCTGGCA